TCGATGGCGTTCGACCAGGAAAAATGCTTCTAAAGCACTGGGCAAAGCAACTTTTAGTGTTCACGGTGCCGACGTTGTGGCTTCTGGGAAACGTGCAATTATCGGTACACAGGCTTTAGAAGTGGCGACTTCGATCCTGGTGACCAGCTGCGCCCCTAAACAGCAGCCTCGAAAGTTTGAAGATGCCGAATTGCCGGCTCTGATGGATGAAGACTCAATACCAACTCAACAGGAGCTTGCAGGTCAATTAGGAGTCACCCAAACAGCCACATCCACGCACTTGCACAACCAGATGGGAACGGTTAGTAAACCTGGAAGTTGAGTCCCACATCTGTGTTGACCGAATGCAACCTTGGTCAACGTCTGAACCCATGCCTTTCACAGCTTGCTCACCGGCAGCAAGCAGTGAATGGACTACCTTTGTGGAACATTTCAACGAGTGATGAAAAGTGGATTTTCCGTAAGGAGAAATCCAAACGTAACATGGTGTCGTGGATGAATCCCTGCGCTTTGTGCTAAGAAGGAATTCAAAAACCTCGTGAAATCTTGATTGTTAAGCAGTATTGTTTCTTGGTTTTTGAAATTGTATTTGATGCAATTTCTTAAAAAATACATAGGCGAAATATTTATTTCAAATTGCGAATTGTCGGTGGACCAACCACGGTAAAATTCTGTTCAGATGCTCTTGTATGCCAAACAAGGATCTACAAATAGAGCCATATTAGATGCATAACTTGTTCAATACAGCTTTTGTCTACAAGCTCAAAAGTGCACTTAAAATAAATATTTTTGATGTCCTCCGTGGTTGTAAAAGGATTGAATTCAAGGTTTAGGGAAACCGAATGACATGTCTACTTGAATTACATAACCTCTCAGAACATGGAAGTTTACGGTGGCAGACGATGAACAGCACGTTTGATGGCACTGCATTTTTCATGAATCCTGACCAGGAGCAAATGCTTCTAAAGTACGGAAATCCGTTTGTAGTGTTCTTGGTGCCGACATCGTGTCTACGGTGAAACGTGTAACTATCGGTACAGACTTTGTAGAGGTGGCGGCCTCGATTTTAGTGACCAGCAGCCTCGGATGAAGAGTCGACTCGAACGCAACAAGAGCTTGCTGCAGCTCAGGTAGAAGTCACAGAAGACTCTCGTGAACTTGGGATGGGAAATTCTCTTGGGCTCCAATTCGACTACCGTTTGTTGAGGTTAATGCAGCAGCAGCACCACCCCTTAGTGGACAAACAGCTCGAAATGCTGGAAGATGTGGACAAACTTGCCGACGATGACTTTATTGTCTCGAAGTCCGCGAGCTTCTTTCGCGATGCCATTTGCACGTTATCTGAGAAATGGCGCAGGGTTATCGGAAACGATGGGCAACATTTCAAGATTACGTCCATTGTTCTTTACTTTTTTAAATCAAATAGATTTTCTGAAAAATCTGTAAAATTAAGTCACGAACCTAATCTACTTCTTGTTAGACTACAAAATCGATAAAACCTGGTACATAGTGATTTTCGCGAACTCACCCTGGTGCAGCCGTCAGCTTTTGGTTCCAATTCGAAGGCGTTCTTGAAACCGAGCGCGGACAGAAACAGCCCCTCCTGCTTTCCGACAGTGTGATTGTCGAACAAGGCTTTCGGCTTTTGTAGCACCAGGTCCAGACTCACGGCAAATCCGGCCATGTCGATGGGGAACGTCCTGTTGTACCAAACGCTGGTCCAGAACGACTTAATCTTGCTCCGGTCGCCGGGCCCAGTGATACAGCCTTCCCATTGCGAACTCGCAATGAGACCGACCGGCCACGTTGCACCCCTCCTCAATGTGCGTATCTGTTTGGGAAAAGTATGAGAGAAACCATTGGCAGGTAATGGTGCCTTCTGATTGGTCGACTGCAGCGCGCTTTTCGAATGTAATCTGAACTGCGGTCAATAAAACCAATCGATCAGTGTCAAGTTAAATTAATTAATATTGTTTTTTGTGAATGTAGATGGCGTAAAGTTAATTTTGGAAGAACTCTCTGAGGTTGGATGGTGCAAGATCGAATAAATTCGTCGAATTGCAATTGGTTGATTTATGTAAGCTCAGGCAAGTTATTGGAGCTTATAACGACATGCATGAAGATAACGGTGTTTATTCTTTAACAGGACGCACGTACTGAGTTCAACCTCAAAACTCCCTTCTCGAAATTGTTTCACTCACTCATGGTGGAACAACTGTGTAGATGTTGAAAGTCACCCAAAACGCCCGAACGCGTCAGCAGGATCTAAAATTGGGTTTTGCATGCATTGACGAATCAATATTTCCGAAATGCATCTCGAACGCGTTCAGGATGTCATTAATTGTGAACTTCTTCCAGAGAACTTGTCGGGAGTCCCGGAATATGATCTTGAACCACGCCGAGGTTGGTGAGTTAAATTGGTCTGTTTGCGCCAATCAGAAAGACAAGCCAACATGAGTTACGTAACCTCTCAAAACATGAGGGTTTACGATGGCAGACGATGGAAAGCACATTCAATGGCACTAGATGTTGTACGAATTCTAACAATGAGGCAAATGCTTCTAAAGCATTGGGCGAAACAACTTTTAGTGTTCGCGGTGGCGACGTTCTGTCTTCTGTGAAACGTGCAATTATCGGTACACAGGCTTTAGAAGTGGCGACTTCGATCTTGGTGACCAGCTGCACCCCTAAACAGCAGCCTCGAAAGTTTGAAGATGCCGAATTGCCGGCTCTGATGGATGAAGACTCAATGCCAACGCTACAGGAGCTTGCAGGTCAATTAGGAGTCACCCAACCAGCTACATCCACGCACGTACACAAGCCAATGGGAAAAATTTATAAACTTGGAAGTTGGGTTCCTTATGTTGACTGAAAACGATTTAGGTCAACGGATGAAGACAGGCCTTTCACTGCTTGCCCACCGGCAACAAGCAGTGAGTGGACTGCCTTTGTGGAACATTTCGACGGGTAGTGAAAAGTGGATCTTCAGTAACGAGAATTCCTAACGCAAAATGGTGTCATGAGGGGATCCCACGCAACCAGGTACATCGACGCCGAAACAGGATGCCCACATGAAGAAGCTATCTGTACCTGTGCATCTGGCGGGACATGATGGGTATACTTGAATGCAGACTCTGGCAAACTGGTCGTATGACCGTGACTGTGCAACGCCACAGTTAACAATTGAACAAACTGAAAGAAGAGGCCAGAGATCAAAAAAGGAAGGACGGAAGCAGGTAAGTCATATTGCTGATGCATGGCGAGGATCAGCCACGTCACGCTTCTCGCGCGACTCAGAAAACCCTCTTGCATTTGGAATGGGAAGATTTGCCACTCACGGCATAGTCACCAAACTTGGCCCCCCTTCCGACCACCATTTGTTGGGGTCAATGGGAATAAACAGTTCAAAACACTAGAAAAAATGTGGGTAAACACGTCGATGCCTCTTTTGCCTTGAAGCCTGCAAGAATCATTCGGTATCTGAGAGCTGGCGCAGGGTGATTGTAAACGATGGAGAATATCCCCAAGATTTAGTTCACTGTTCTCTATTTTTTACTAAGTTGGCTGAAGATCTGTGATCCGAGGTCCATGGATTGGGGGTGAATTGGAGGTAGTTCAGTTTAAGTGTGCGGCCTGAGTTTTGACGACCAACGCCGTCATTTGACAGATCACGTGTAATTTGCACGGCAAAAACTTGTCATGAGGCTGAAAAAACCAACCAGGTAGGTCGATCCTACTTTACTGGTTCGGATGTCTGAAGAACACACCGTTTCCTTGGTTTTTACGTTCAAGTTTGCTCTTATACAGTGATTCATCTCTTGTCGAAGTAACTATTGTGCCACGAATCGCAGATGAATTTCACGCCAAAGGAAGCCATTACTCCTCGCCAATTTCCATCATCCGATGGGTTGAATTAAATGCACATTTTAATTGTGTTACTTGACCTCGAAATCGGCCTGATTAGTCCTGGTTATCCACCAATGTCGCAGTTTAAATTGCATTATCACAGAGGTAAGGAATAATGCCGTTAGCTGAAAGAGTTCATTGTGTGATTGCCTTGGTGAAAGAGAGATTTCTTTGTTCCTGGTGTAAAATAGAGTCGTAGTTCGCCTAAATACCCCCTGGAATTTCCATAAAGACCCACAGGTCACGTTGCACCCCTCCTCAATTGGGCAAAAGTATGAGAGAATCCATTGGCAGGTAAGAGTGGCTTCTGATTGGTCGGCTGCAGCGCAATTTTCGATTGCTTTTTCGGGTTTCAGTCAAAAGTTGGCTATTTGCTTTTCCCGTCTTCAAGTCGTCATCACTCTATTTTTACCAGATTACAGATAAAAAGTTGTTAATTTGTCGATGTTAGGGTTCTTGAACACTGAGTAGAGCCATGCTGTGTCGAAATGAATCAAGTAGTGCTTAGCGTAAAATCGAAAATTGGGATATCTTGTCCATTCTGTCAATAAGCCTGCCTACTCCAGCGACCAATGAGTGAGCCAACTGTCAACAAACGGCTTCAAATGAAATAACCTTAATCACAGATTGGATGCTATTACTTCTGCCATGAATGAAATCACTAAGATAATGTTGCAGCTGTGATGGTAGACAAGTGGGATGCCACGACTCTTTTACATGATCGTGGGCTCAAACACCGTGTCTAATCTCATCAGATGGTCGAAAACCATGCACTTCGTGGTTCCACCGTACATCCCTGAGTTTCCCCAACACATGCTTCATATGTTGTAGGGATGTTAAGGTAAACGCGTTGGTGATTAAGCTTGGTTGCTACCGACACTAACCTCTGCAAACAGATCCGGGTGGTACGTGTTGTCGTCATCAGCGAAGTACACCACGCCTCGTTCCTGGTTCGGTCGAATATTCCCCCGAAGCCACCGCAGTGCCTCGTTCCGCTGATTCGAGCCTCGAATAAGCCTCTTCGACTTGGCTGATGTGGCGTTCAAGTGGACATGTGGGACTCCACACTCGTGGAGAAAGTGTGAAAGATTCCTGAACACAAATGAATTGCCAGCTTTAGATGCGTGCAGCTAAAGGAGTGGCATGGCAGCAGACATCAAACATCTCCATACCCACTTTTGCGGTTCGCGTCCTCAACCACAATCCATCGGATGTTGCCGGCAACTGTGAAGACCGTGCACAGTCTGGTTAACTCGGGAATTTGATTGGAGCGCCTATAGGTTGGAGTGATCGCATAGATTTTGACAATCTCCGGTTTTCTGTCAAACCAAACGGTCTCTTTAAGTACAAATACCAGCAATACTGTGGCAATGGTAGGCAGAATAATGGACCGTCGCATTTGGAGACAACTTACGGTGCAATGAGCCAGCACATACTTATACAATCAAGTGTGCGAGATGTGGCATCATGTGATGTGATTGGTGCATTTGTTCGATGTGTTTTAACAACAGTTAGTTTGCCTAAAGATCCCTCTCATTTGTCACCGCTGGAATCTGATTTTCCCATTTGCCATGTTTTCTCACTGAATAAACAATTCCTCCATGGGCCTTGTAAATGTTGTTTGAGGTTTTTTGCATTCGTTTTTGCGGTCAGTATGAATTTTTAAGTGTCCAAACCTAAATTCTCGAATATAATATTTATTTAAGTAGTTTTTAGGAATTTCAGAGTCAAGCTGAAACTAGGACACCGCTTTGATTCCACTACTTACACCGACAAATAAGTAGTCTACTGTTCGAAGCATCCGACTTCGAAACACAGCAGGTGACTTGGGTCTTAATTTCTATTACAAAGGAACATGGTTAAAAATGCGCACCATCACCATCTGCCGGGAAAATCGACACTTCATTTGATATACCTGCTACCATCCGGACTTCTGAGAGTGGAATGCAAATTCTGAAGGTGTCCACCTTTCTAGATGTGGATTAGCACACTCTAAACTCTTGTGAATGTTTGTCTCGGACACGGCTTTCCCGTGCTGTGGGCGCCAGCATGTGGTCTTGAACCCCGCCGGGGCCACGGAATTAACCCAGGTCCGATTACGCTTGCCTGATTTCGGAGGTGAAGAAAAGGATAGGAGAGGGCGTGGACACAACCGTTTACTTCAGAGCTCAACCGCGGTGTTGTTGTGTCGTGCGTGGGGTTTTCGCTTGTGTATTTATACCTCGGATGTGTGAGTCACACATGCGCTAACATCGAGACCTAGGTGTGAGGATAATCCAAGATAAAGACTTGTGTGAATGAGGGGGGAGTTGAGGATCCGCGCGGCTGGCGACATGCTGCAAAATGGGGGATCCTGTGTTGGAGGTGGAGCGACCGGAATAAGGGGTGTGAATAAACACGATTCACAACACTCGTTTTTCACTAAACGTTGACGATAAAGGTAGACAGGTGGAGGAGATTACAGATTGCCACCGAAATTTGTAACTGGAAGTGTAACTCACTCCAGATACTTCCTTATTGGTTGGTGGCGTCAAGTTAAATGTCTTGAATAAGCACAATCTTCCACGAACATCAAAACTATTAACGCTGGAGTCATTCACACATATTAAAACAAACCGAGCTCAGCGAATTCCCTGACATCGTGCGTTTGAATGAGGAGTAATATAAAGTGGGCAGAGAGGCCAGCGTGGTGGACTTATGTGGTGACGTCTGAGGGTGTAGACATATTGGGCTACGCTAGCCCCAGCCAATCCTGTCTCTCTCTGCGTTCCAATGTCATGCGAGGAAGAAAGGCAGCCAACCATATAAGGACACGAATGAGGTACAACATATAATAAGCGGCATGGCCAGCGTGGCGGACTCGGATGGACGGCGCCTGATTTGTGGTCTTGGCTTGTCATTGGTCAATACAGCCTGTTCTATTGTATCAGACTTGTTCCTAATAGGGCTCGGGTATTCTACACTTGGATGGACGGCACCTGATGCACGAGCCTATCTCCCGCTTGGTCTGGTGTTTCAGTCTTCTTCGTACTAGGACTCGGGTATTCTGCACCATCCAACTGGGTCCTCTATTCTAGCGGCACTGGACGTTATGAGACGTTTTTACCCATCTATGTCTCTGGTTGGCTGCTGATCTTCTTCGTAGGCCATTAAAACGCACAAAGACAAATCAATAAGTCTAACATTGACAATAAGTGATGCCAAGGGTTAGTTGTGGATCAAAATGTTAAAAGTAAATTCATGTGGAAATTCATGCCTCACACGAAAATGTAAATGACGCCACCCTTGTGTTTATTGAATTTTAAAAAGAGGTATTCAGGCTGCAGCAAATTGAGGTCTGAAAACCGAAAGCATCAGAAACGTCTACATGGTAAACTTTGATATCGAATTTTCAGCTTCCTGATTTTGCCTTAAAATGTTACAATGTCCAATTGAAAAACTATGCATTATAAAAATTCCAACTTCTGGAGATCTTCATTTATTTACGCATGGAAATAATCATTACCTGCATTACTGTTGTCCTTCCAAAAGAACGCCGGCAAAAATGTCATAGTTATTCAACGGAATTTATAAGGCCTCCTCAAATAGTGTACTTTTTTAATCAATATAACATAAAAAACATGCACTTTAGGCTATACTGTGTCTATTTTGATCGCATTTCAGGCCAAATCGTTACAGCAAACCCTAAATTTACACATGAAATGCAACTAATCTGAGAAAAAGCACTAATTTTGTTGTACTAGTAGGTAATCGTCGACTCAGATAAGTAATGAAAATGTAATGTCTCGTAAAGTTTGCTTTTTTCAACTGCCATAATTTTTATCCCTGTGTTTTTTCTTTCAACCTGTATCAGTTCTAATGTAACAACACTTTTGCTTCTGTTACAAGAAAATCTTTTTTCAAACATTATCTGTCAATGAAAAAGCCAAGTTAAAATTTCTAATGATTGCGGAAATGTTAGCAATGTAATAATAATAATAATATTCAGAAATGATATTAAATGGATAATCCATTTGCCTACCATCTGCGCTTTATTTAGTGAAGGCCTCTAACTTTAGTAAACTAATTTTATAATTATTAATTGTAGAAGCAGAACACCACTATTTTTCCATTTGAAAGTAAAAAAAGTCAAACTTGTAAACTTTCAAATTTACTTAGTCATAATGAACTTTCATGTCCAAAAAATTTTCTATGATGTGATCTTTCCAAATAATAACATTAATGCAAAGTTAACGAAGATATGGAGATTTAAAAATTCATTTACTTCACAAATACTTTCAGGTTTTATAAAGAAACACTATAACAATAATTTTTTAAACTCCTCAATTGAAATTTTAATATTCCTCCGTGAATTGCTGCTATCGTCATCCATGATTTGCTCTTGTAATATTTATATGACCTTTAATGGTAATGGATTGTTTAAATTAGCGCCATTGCGTCTACCCCGGGAAGGCGAGACACTTAGGCTTTCTAAAAGCAGTTTTTATCGTGATGTCTTATAATTGTGTTCAAAATGAAGGTTTAGAAGATAAGGTAAGTAGAGGTCTGTGGCATTGTTAATCAGCCATAAATATAACACCCATATCCTATTTCAGTTTCCTGGTAGCCAGAAATCAGCAGATTATCTGTGCCAAGTGATACACATTAAACGAAGTTTATCGGGACCCGCCAATTATTGCAGTTTCTTATCTTTGAGAGCATGCATTTCACCCGTTATATACGTTACTTTATTGCAACTTTAAATCGGTTGCGCGTGAACGTGGTTGCGTTCATGTCGTAAACGTTGAATGGGTAAAATTGGTCACATTAAAAAAAACATTTTCAGGTTAAGAATAACGTAAAGGCGTTTACCGAATTTCTGTGTTGCAACTCAACCTTTCAGGATTCCCGAGGCAATTACATGCCTAAAACCAATGTCAACACTTTCATTGCATTTCGATTTGATATTTATACTTGCGAAGACTTGATACGCTACCACAACCGGGTTTCCCACTATCACCATAATGCAATTTCTTTATATCCACCACCAGCAACGTAATCATATTTGATAATTAATGTGTGCCTTTGGTCCGTCAGTACGTTGGTACTGTCTTGGTTTGCTCGTGGATATCACTGAATTACAAACATTATCTTCGTAATCCCCCAATTTTAGGATTTGACACCCCTTCAATTGCAAGAAATTCTTACAGTAGTATCTTAGGAGATTCATCCGCTAGTATTCGCCTTATTTTTAATTAAAATGTTAATTCTGCATTGAGATTTGTACTTTTAAATGACCCCCATTTGCCAATAGATTAACGTGAGCCGACATATATTTTTCGCTCCAACTTTCTGTTACGAATGATTTCAGAATTCTTTGGCTATCGTCTCCTGTTAGAGTGTGATGTTTTATTCCCACTGATTCACTTTCTTGTCCTCAGTTTATAATATTGCCTTTTAGTTATCGGAATTAAAGGTGTCCGGTGCGCCGAGTAATGATGTCAACGATTTGGAACGGAAATATGTGCCACCTCATTTGCGTGGAGGAGTTGATGGTTTTGATCCCATCGGGAATGGCGGTGCCCGCTATGGTGGCAGTCGCGGCAGCTATGGAGGTGGTAGCCAGAGAGGTTTTGACGGCGGTTACAATGGTGCTTACGGTGGTGGTGGTGGTTATAGCCGTTCGGGTCGGGGTCGTGGTGGCGGCGGAGGGTTCGGCTATGGGAGTCGCGACTTCGGTAGCCGTGGAGGTGGCTTCGATCGGGGCTACAGAGCAAGGCCGGATTCTGGATTCGGTGGCCCGTCTCGGCGTCCAGTCGCCGAAGAAGGTGTATCCGTTGATTGGTCCCATCAATTGCCTCGGGACGAGCGTATCGAAAAGGAACTGTTTCATAAAGTCAACACCGGCATCAACTTTGACCAATATGACAATATTCCTGTCAATGTCACAGGTCCTGATGCGGATTCCTTTGAACCCATCCAAACATACAACGACCTCTCCCTCACCTCCATAATGCGCGATAATATCACCTGTGCGCAGTATTCCCGCCCCACCCCCGTACAAAAATACGCCATTCCAATTATATCGGCCGGGCGAGATCTGATGGCGTGTGCGCAAACTGGGTCCGGAAAAACCGCCGCCTTCTTGATACCGATTCTCAACTTAATGTTCGAACAGGGCCCCGGACATTCGATTACTGCCAGTGTAAGCTGCCTTCTTGATTTTCATCAGCCTTTAGTATGAAACAAACAGGCGGAAACAGTTTCCTGTTGGTTTGATCCTCGCCCCCACTAGAGAGTTAGCTTCTCAGATTTACGATGAAGCTCGCAAATTCGCGTACAGATCCAAGGTGCGGCCTTGCGTTGTTTATGGCGGTGCGGATATGCGCAAACAACTCCTCGAAGTGTCTTATGGTTGCAACATATTGGTTGCAACGCCCGGACGTTTATTGGATGTAATGGACCGTGGAAAAATCGGTCTGAATCATGTTCGGTAGGTTTTCTTATTTTGCTTATTTCCCTAGCTTTCTTGTGCTGGATGAAGCCGATCGCATGCTTGATATGGGCTTCGAACAGCAGATTCGACGTATCGTAGAACAAGATCACATGCCGCCATGTGGAACCCGTCAAACGCTCATGTTCTCTGCCACCTTCCCCAATGAAATACAAGTTTTGGCAAAAGACTTCCTCAATGACTACGTCTTTTTGACCGTGGGAAGAGTGGGCAGTACGAGCGCGAATATCAAACAACGACTTCTTTGGGTCGAAGAAAATGAGAAGCGTGATGTTCTTGTCGACCTGCTAACTCAGTCGGGTAGGTTCAAATGCTTCAGCCTTATTGTCTGTTTTCTAGCTCCTGGCGATCGTGTCTTAATATTTGTTGAAACAAAACGAGGGGCCGATTTATTGGAAGAATACTTGTATCAAGAGAAATTTTCTGTTGCCAGTATCCACGGTGACCGAAATCAAGAAGATCGTGAATTAGCCTTGCGCTATTTCCGGACAGGTGTTACGCCCATCCTGGTTGCCACGGCTGTCGCAGCTAGAGGCTTGGATATACCAGATGTTAAGGTAATTCCGATGCACTACTACTGACACACTTTCAGCATGTTATAAATTATGACCTGCCGTCTGACATCGAAGAGTACATCCATCGAATCGGACGTACCGGGCGAGTAGGTAATCTCGGAGAGGCGACGTCTTTCTTCAACGCCAAAAACCGCAATCTGGCAGGTGACCTGATTGTGCGATTGGAGGATGTCAATCAATTGGTCCCTGCATGGCTGAGGTCCATTCCTGATGAACCGTGTCGCTATCCCCCGTCCGGTCGAGGCAGGCAACGTCGGTGAGTGCCATTGCCTGTCTTTCTCGTGCACTGATAAGGCCGATTTGGCGTTTTGAAATATGGCGACATTCATTTTTAGTACTGGCGGCGGTTTCGGAGGACGTGACTATCGCCAACAGCAGGGCCGCGGCGGTGGAATGCAGTCCGATGGTGGTGGTTTCGGTGGTGGAAGCCGCTACAACAATCCGAGTGGCGGGCCGATGCACTTCAACGGTGGAGGCGGCTATTCCAATTTCGGTGCGAGCGGCGGCCGGTCAAGAAATGATCGTGTGGATTGGTGGTCTAATGAGTAAATATTTTTTTACTACCCCCAACGTCCGCGCGCGCATTGCGTGTACATCGCCTACAGCAACGCTACAGCTACACTCAATTTGCACAACCCATTGCCTCTAAACTCCTATTTCCACTCCCTGCTTATCATCCACATATAGAGATAATATTTCTCCCCGTTGTGGCAACTAATGTTTTGTCGCCACCACTAACCAATATTTCTTGGCATTTAACGTTGACGTTTTCTTTTTTATCGAGTGGTTTTCGCCAAAAAGTGGTTGATACGTAAATTCTTATCTTTGCCTACCATTTTGACGCGTCATAGGTGAACATGTGGACTTGCGTACGCATCTCTTGGATTTGTCGGTCAAGGCGACTAGTACTGTACTAAGTATAGGGTAATTTACATTTCGACTTTGATCTGTGAACAGTGCAGATCTGGGTGTCGTTTATCAATACCAGCTCAATTCCCGTACCGAGGAAAGCCCCTGTAGTGAGGTGTTCGTGTCTAGGAAAGTAGCACTGGCAGTAAGAGCTTTGGGTCCACTGCTAGCGTGCTAAAAGCTCCGTCGGGTAGTCCACGACTCCCAAAAAGCTTGTGGGACTCGTGGAGTTGACGACTTCGACGTCGGTCACGAGAGGCGTGTTAGTTGTGGTGATAGCCAAAATTTAGTTAGCGGAAGGAGTAAAAAATTCCATTGACGGTTGTGATTCTGGAGCTATTTTGCAGCACAAATGCCTCGGGTCGGGTTCGTCTAGGACACAAAACCCACACTTCCGATCGGTGTAATGAGGCCTGGTGAGGGTCGAACCCGGTCCGTTTTCTAAAAGCCAAACTCTCGAAGACGCTAAATTCGGTTAAAACGTCAAGTTAGTAGGGGAGAGCTGGCGTTGCAGAGCAAGTGCTCAATCTGCGTGAGAAACTCTCAGAGGCCACTTGTGGTGCGTTTGGTAGTTTTTATAGTGTGTGAAGCAGGTGTCCGGGTGGGAAGTCTCCGCGCGTAGGATCGTAGAATACTCAGGATATTGCCAGGGCTGTTTTTTCGTGGCATTTGGCCTTCGCAGAAGATCGTTCCCGCTCGATTCGAGGTTTTGAAGACGATCACGGCGTAGCCAAATGCCGGTTCCCTTCGAAATCGAGGTGTCTAAAAGTGACTACACCTCACCCACCTACGCGGAAATCAGTTTGGCCTGGCACCTTGCCTATTTTTGGTGGCGCATTGTTTATGCTACTAAAATGACCTTCAACAGGAGGAATTGGTACTTCCGGATAACTTTGCAGCGAGTTGGACTTCGCTCCTAATGCTCACACGACGCAGGTGACATTTGAAGCCACCTAATGCCGAAAACGGTCCCATTTGTGAAGAATGTACCACAATTTCCCCAAAACTAGTTTTCTGCTACTACCGTTATGTTTATAGTGAACCGTGGTGATTCTAGTCCAATAATCCAGTTATCGATCGCACAAAATCGTCTGCTCTTGCTGCTCTGTGCGTGTAGCCCCTCCCTACACTATCCGTTTCATTCAGCTAGGTTGAGCTGCCTAGTAAATGGCTGTCTTGTCTCCTCGGCTGAGTAAAGTTTTCGGAGCCGGGTCAACTCAGCAACTCCGGCGTGGGAAAAGACTAAATGCCTGGGCCCACAACATGTTCATTGTTGATGCTTCGATCGATGCCATTTCAGTCTACATAATGATGCATGACTCCGTTAGATGGAATGTGGTGGTTGATTCAGATCCATTAATCGGATCGTCGCGAACCCATTCTTGCCACTCGTCCCTTGTCGTGTCGTCTGCCCATACACCCCTGTGCGCGTACCTCTATCCCGTCACTCGTGTCTCCCGCCCGCACTCAGCCATTTGTACTTCAACAGGTCCACCGAGACTGTACTGACCAATAACCCCCATTTGCCAGACATGACCTTTCATGCACAGAGCGCGACACCAACACACCTAGGCTAAACCACCCTGCAAACTGTTGTCTTCGCCATCTCCAGTCGTTCTGGG